ACAAATTTTTCAAGCTGCATAGGCTTATAGTATCTTGGTCTTACATTCATTGTATATCTAATTCTTCAGGAATATTTGACAAACTTCCGCAAGGTCAAGTCATTCCTTTCCTTTAACATAATCATCTATCAGATTACAAAATGAAATGCTACAGACTACAGTGTAGATATATAAACAATTATTTTTCCAGTTGAGAATTTTTTCACATCACTATCACAACTTAAAAAAATCTCATTTCTGACAATGGTAGCACTCAAACAACTGAGTAATTAATAAGTTTTAATAACTCAGTTTGGTGTCAAACATTCTGTCATACTTCTGTTGAAAAAGAAATGAGATGTTCACCATAACCTTCCTGAATCAATATTGTGTACAAATTATGCAATTGACAATTATACCTTTTTTTTTTATTTCACCTTGTTTTCATTAGATAACATCTTTCTTATTTATATTGATCAAGGGACAGACATCCTGATACAGGGTAACTACACTGTGTACAGGGACAGACATCCTGATACAGGGTAACTACACTGTGTACAGGGACAGACATCCTGATACAGGGTAACTACACTGTGTACAGGGACAGACATCCTGATACAGGGTAACTACACTGTGTACAGGGACAGACATCCTAATACTGGGTAACTACACTGTGTACAGGGACAGACATCCTGATACAGGGTAACTACACTGTGTACAGGGACAGACATCCTGATACAGGGTAACTACACTGTGTACAGGGACAGACATCCTGATACAGGGTAACTACACTGTGTACATGGACAGACATCCTGATACAGGGTAACTACACTGTGTACAGGGACAGACATCCTGATACAGGGTAACTACACTGTGTACAGGGACAGACATCCTGATACAGGGTAACTACACTGTGTACAGGGACAGACATCCTAATACTGGGTAACTACACTGTGTACAGGGACAGACATCCTAATACTGGGTAACTACACTGTGTACAGGGACAGACATCCTGATACAGGGTAACCACACTGTGTACAGGGACAGACATCCTGATACAGGGTAACCACACTGTGTACAGGGACAGACATCCTGATACAGGGCAACTACACTGTGTACAGGGACAGACATCCTGATACAGGGTAACTACACTGTGTACAGGGACAGACATCCTGATACAGGGTAACTACACTGTGTACAGGGACAGACATCCTGATACAGGGTAACTACACTGTGTACAGGGACAGACATCCTGATACAGGGTAACTACACTGTGTACCGGGACAGACATCCTGATACAGGGTAACTACACTGTGTACAGGGACAGACATCCTAATACTGGGTAACTACACTGTGTACAGGGACAGACATCCTAATACTGGGTAACTACACTGTGTACAGGGACAGACATCCTAATACTGGGTAACTACACTGTGTACAGGGACAGACATCCTGATACAGGGTAACTACACTGTGTACAGGGACAGACATCCTGATACAGGGTAACTACACTGTGTACAGGGACAGACATCCTGATACTGGGTAACTACACTGTGTACAGGGACAGACATCCTGATACAGGGTAACCACACTGTGTACAGGGACAGACATCCTGATACAGGGTAACTACACTGTGTACAGGGACAGACATCCTGATACTGGGTAACTACACTGTGTACAGGGACAGACATCCTGATACAGGGTAACTACACTGTGTACAGGGACAGACATCCTGATACTGGGTAACTACACTGTGTACAGGGACAGACATCCTGATACAGGGTAACTACACTGTGTACAGAGACAGACATCCTGATACAGGGCAACTACACTGTGTACAGGGACAGACATCCTGATACAGGGTAACTACACTGTGTACAGGGACAGACATCCTGATACAGGGTAACTACACTGTGTACAGGGACAGACATCCTGATACAGGGTAACCACACTGTGTACAGGGACAGACATCCTGATACAGGGTAACCACACTGTGTACAGGGACAGACTTCCTGATACAGGGTAACTACACTGTGTACAGGGACAGACATCCTGATACAGGGCAACTACACTGTGTACAGGGACAGACATCCTGATACTGGGTAACTACACTGTGTACAGGGACAGACATCCTGATACAGGGTAACTACACTGTGTACAGGGACAGACATCCTGATACAGGGCAACTACACTGTGTACAGGGACAGACATCCTGATACAGGGTAACTACACTGTGTACAGGGACAGACATCCTGATACAGGGTAACTACACTGTGTACAGGGACAGACATCCTGATACAGGGTAACTACACTGTGTACAGGGACAGACATCCTGATACAGGGTAACTACACTGTGTACAGGGACAGACATCCTGATACAGGGTAACCAGACTGTGTACAGGGACAGACATCCTGATACAGGGTAAATACACTGTGTACAGGGACAGACATCCTGATACAGGGTAACTACACTGTGTACAGGGACAGACATCCTGATACAGGGTAACTACACTGTGTACAGGGACAGACATCCTGATACAGGGTAACTACACTGTGTACATGGACAGACATCCTGATACAGGGTAACTACACTGTGTACAGGGACAGATATCCTGATACAGGGTAACTACACTGTGTACAGGGACAGACATCCTGATACAGGGTAACCACACTGTGTACAGGGACAGACATCCTGATACAGGGTAACCACACTGTGTACAGGGACAGACATCCTAATACTGGGTAACTACACTGTGTACAGGGACAGACATCCTAATACTGGGTAACTACACTGTGTACAGGGACAGACATCCTGATACAGGGTAACTACACTGTGTACAGGGACAGACATCCTGATACAGGGTAACCACACTGTGTACAGGGACAGACATCCTGATACAGGGCAACCACCCTGTGTACAGGGACAGACATCCTGATACTGGGTAACCACACTGTGTACAGGGACAGACATCCTGATACAGGGTAACTACACTGTGTACAGGGACAGACATCCTGATACAGGGTAACTACACTGTGTACAGGGACAGACATCCTAATACTGGGTAACTACGCTGTGTACAGGGACAGACATCCTAATACTGGGTAACTACACTGTGTACAGGGACAGACATCCTAATACTGGGTAACTACACTGTGTACAGGGACAGACATCCTAATACTGGGCAACTACACTGTGTACAGGGACAGACATCCTGATACAGGGCAACTACACTGTGTACAGGGACAGACATCCTAATACTGGGTAACTACACTGTGTACAGGGACAGACATCCTGATACAGGGTAACTACACTGTGTACAGGGACAGACATCCTGATACAGGGTAACCAGACTGTGTACAGGGACAGACATCCTGATACAGGGTAACCACACTGTGTACAGGGACAGACATCCTGATACAGGGTAACCAGACTGTGTACAGGGACAGACATCCTGATACAGGGCAACTACACTGTGTACAGGGACAGACATCCTGATACAGGGTAACTACACTGTGTACATGGACAGACATCCTGATACAGGGTAACTACACTGTGTATAGGGACAGACATCCTGATACAGGGTAACCACACTGTGTACATGGACAGACATCCTGATACAGGGTAACTACACTGTGTACATGGACAGACATCCTGATACAGGGTAACTACACTGTGTACAGGGACAGACATTCTGATACAGGGTAACCACACTGTGTACAGGGACAGACATCCTGATACAGGGTAACCACACTGTGTACAGGGACAGACATCCTGATACAGGGCAACCACCCTGTGTACAGGGACAGACATCCTAATACTGGGTAACTACACTGTGTACAGGGACAGACATCCTGATACAGGGTAACTACACTGTGTACAGGGACAGACATCCTGATACAGGGCAACCACCCTGTGTACAGGGACAGACATCCTGATACAGGGTAACCACACTGTGTACAGGGACAGACTTCCTGATACAGGGTAACTACACTGTGTACAGGGACAGACATCCTGATACAGGGCAACTACACTGTGTACAGGGACAGACATCCTGATACAGGGCAACTACACTGTGTACAGGGACAGACATCCTGATACAGGGCAACTACACTGTGTACAGGGACAGACATCCTGATACAGGGTAACTACACTGTGTACAGGGACAGACATCCTGATACAGGGTAACTACACTGTGTACAGGGACAGACATCCTGATACAGGGTAACTACACTGGGTACAGGGACAGACATCCTGATACAGGGCAACTACACTGTGTACAGGGACAGACATCCTGACACTGGGTAACTACACTGTGTACAGGGACAGACATCCTGATACTGGGTAACTACACTGTGTACAGGGACAGACATCCTGATACAGGGTAACTACACTGTGTACAGGGACAGACATCCTGATACAGGGTAACTACACTGTGTACAGGGACAGACATCCTGATACAGGGTAACTACACTGTGTACATGGACAGACATCCTGATACAGGGTAACTACACTGTGTACAGGGACAGACATCCTGATACTGGGTAACTACACTGTGTACAGGGACAGACATCCTGATACAGGGCAACTACACTGTGTACAGGGACAGACATCCTGATACAGGGCAACTACACTGTGTACATGGACAGACATCCTGATACAGGGTAACCACACTGTGTACATGGACAGACATCCTGATACAGGGCAACTACACTGTGTACATGGACAGACATCCTGATACAGGGCAACTACACTGTGTACATGGACAGACATCCTGATACAGGGCAACTACACTGTGTACATGGACAGACATCCTGATACAGGGTAACCACACTGTGTACAGGGACAGACATCCTGATACAGGGACAATGTGGAAGAGATAAAGAATGTTGAATTTGAAAGAATTTGATGGTATCAGATGTAATGTATTGTATTTAGATGAATTTGGAATGATGTGAGTTTATGATGTGTATAGTTTGTGTAAATTTTGTGAAATTGAATACAAACTCAATTATATTTACAGGTCACGACTGCAAGGATTGTTTCAGCAGCTGGATAAGATTGGTGGAAAGTCCACCAAAAGTCCATTATGTGGAGAGGACCTACAACAGTTACGATACATTACATCCAAGATATTCCAAATCCTAAACACACAAGGTAGGTATAATGTATGTTTATTGTGGAAAGTACCTACAACAGTTATGATACATCACATCCTAGATATTCTTTATCCTAAATACACAGGGTATGTACAGTGAGAGAGAGGACCTAATATCCTAAATACACAGGGTATGTACAGTCAGAGAGAGGACCTAATATCCTAAATACACAGGGTATGTACAGTGAGAGAGAGGACCTAATATCCTAAATACACAGGGTGTGTACAGTGAGAGAGAGGACCTAATATCCTAAATACACAGGGTATGTACAGTGAGAGAGAGAGGACCTAATATCCTAAATACACAGGGTATGTACAGTGAGAGAGAGGACCTAATATCCTAAATACATAGGGTATGTACAGTGAGAGAGAGAGGACCTAATATCCTAAATACATAGGGTATGTACAGTGAGAGAGAGGACCTAATATCCTAAATACATAGGGTATGTACAGTGAGAGAGAGAGGACCTAATATCCTAAATACACAGGGTATGTACAGTGAGAGAGAGGACCTAATATCCTAAATACATAGGGTATGTACAGTGAGAGAGAGAGGACCTAATATCCTAAATACATAGGGTATGTACAGTGAGAGAGAGGACCTAATATCCTAAATACATAGGGTATGTACAGTGAGAGAGAGAGGACCTAATATCCTAAATACACAGGGTATGTACAGTGAGAGAGAGGACCTAATATCCTAAATACATAGGGTATGTACAGTGAGAGAGAGAGGACCTAATATCCTAAATACATAGGGTATGTACAGTGAGAGAGAGGACCTAATATCCTAAATACACAGGGTATGTACAGTGAGAAAGAGAAGACCTACAGTCATTACGTCCTAGGTATTATATATGCTGAGTGTACACTGAGTGTATACCCAGTTAATTTTATTAGCCACTTTGCTACACACTAGATCTCTAGCGATAAAATCCACATCAAGCTTCACTTGATAAATAATTCTTATTTCTCTCCAATTTAATCATTTTTTTTGATTTTTTGAAGAGAAAATTCACCGGGATAGTGTTTTAAAGAACAGTGGTTACATTGATGTTCTGCTGTCTACACTCAGGGTAAGTAAACAATTTACAAACTGAAAGAAGAATAAATTAAAGTCAAATACCAGAAAAGTGTCAATAAAGTTAGATGTCAGAAAATCATGTCTAGTGTCACTGAAGTTAGATGTCGTAAGATCATGTCTAGTGTCACTGAAGTTAGATGTCGTAAGATCATGTCTAGTGTCACTGAAGTTAGATGTCGTAAGATCATGTCTAGTGTCACTGAAGTTAGATGTCGTAAGATCATGTCTAGTGTCACTGAAGTTAGATGTCGTAAGATCATGTCTAGTGTCACTGAAGTTAGATGTCGTAAGATCATGTCTAGTGTCACTGAAGTTAGATGTCGTAAGATCATGTCTAGTGTCACTGAAGTTAGATGTCGTAAGATCATGTCTAGTGTCACTGAAGTTAGATGTCGTAAGATCATGTCTAGTGTCACTGAAGTTAGATGTCGTAAGATCATGTCTAGTGTCACTGTAGTTAGATGTCGTAAGATCATGTCTAGTGTCACTGAAGTTAGATGTCGTAAGATCATGTCTAGTGTCACTGAAGTTAGATGTCGTAAGATCATGTCTAGTGTCACTGAAGTTAGATGTCGTAAGATCATGTCTAGTGTCACTGAAGTTAGATGTCGTAAGATCATGTCTAGTGTCACTGAAGTTAGATGTCGTAAGATCATGTCTAGTGTCACTGAAGTTAGATGTCGTAAGATCATGTCTAGTGTCACTGAAGTTAGATGTCGTAAGATCATGTCTAGTGTCACTGAAGTTAGATGTCGTAAGATCATGTCTAGTGTCACTGAAGTTAGATGTCGTAAGATCATGTCTAGTGTCACTGAAGTTAGATGTCGTAAGATCATGTCTAGTGTCACTAAAGTTAGATGTCAGAAAATCATGTCTAGTATCACTAAAGTTAGATGTCAGTAAAAGTCAATAAGGTCATGTGCCTGTAAAGTCAAGTGTCTGTAAAGTGAGGTGTAAAGTCAGGTGTCTGTAAAGTCAGGTGTCTGTAAAGTGAGGTGTTTGTAAAGTCAGGTGTCTGTAAAGTGAAGTGTTTGTAAAGTCAGGTGTCAGTAAAGTGAGGTGTCTGTAAAGTGAGGTGTCTGTAAAGTGAGGTGTCTGTAAAGTCAGATGTCTGTAAAGTCAGGTGTCTGTAAAGTCAGGTGTCTGTAAAGTCAGGTGTCTGTAAAGTGAAGTGTTTGTAAAGTCAGGTGTCAGTAAAGAGAGGTGTCAGTAAAGTGAGGTGTTTGTAAAGTGAGGTGTTTGTAAAGTCAGGTGTCATTAAAGAGAGGTGTCAGTAAAGTGAGGTGTTTGTAAAGTCAGGTGTCTGAAAAGTGAGGTGTTTGTAAAGTGAGGTGTAAAGTGAGGTGTCTGTAAAGTCAGTTGTCTTTAAAGTGAAGTGTTTGTAAAGTCAGGTGTCAGTAAAGAGAGGTGTCAGTAAAGTGAGGTGTTTGTAAAGTCAGGTGTCTGAAAAGTGAGGTGTTTGTAAAGTGAGGTGTAAAGTCAGGTGTCTGTAAAGTGAAGTATTTGTATGTAAAGTCAGGTGTCTGAAAAGTGAGGTGTTTGTAAAGTCAGGTGTCAGTAAAGAGAGGTGTCAGTAAAGTGAGGTGTTTGTAAATTGAAGTGTCAATAAATCCAGCAATGATATGAGAAGAATACATTTATTTAATATGCTTTCAGAATTCCAGTGATCGTACTGTCGTCCTGAATGTGTTACATTGCCTTAGTGAGCTGATAGGGAAAACACGTAAGTAATGTTAACCATATTGTACTTTTTAAAGTATAACATTGCCTTGAGTCCTTACTTACATGTAACCTTGAGTTTAGTAGTTAATTACTTACATGTAACCTTGAGTTTAGTGGTTCCTTACTTACATGTAAACTTGAGTTTAGAGGTTCCTTACTCACATGTAACCTTGAGTTTAGTAGTTAATTACTTACATGTAACCTTGAGTTTAGTGGTTCCTTACTTACATGTAACCTTGAGTTTAGTAGTTAATTACTTACATGTAACCTTGAGTTTAGTGGTTCCTTACTTACATGTAACCTTGAGTTTAGTAGTTAATTACTTACATGTAACCTTGAGTTTAGTGGTTCCTCACTTACATGTAACCTTGAGTTTAGTGGGTCCTTACTTACATGTAACCTTGAGTTTAGTAGTTAATTACTCACATGTAACCTTGAGTTTAGTAGTTAATTACTTACATGTAACCTTGAGTTTAGTGGTTCCTCACTTACATGTAACCTTGAGTTTAGTGGTTCCTTACTTACATGTAACCTTGAGTTTAGTAGTTAATTACTCACATGTAACCTTGAGTTTAGTAGTTAATTACTTACATGTAACCTTGAGTTTAGTGGTTCCTCACTTACATGTAACCTTGAGTTTAGTAGTTAATTACTTACATGTAACCTTGAGTTTAGTAGTTAATTACTTACATGTAACCTTGAGTTTAGTGGTTCCTCACTTACATGTAACCTTGAGTTTAGTAGTTAATTACTTACATGTAAACTTGAGTTTAGAGGTTCCTTACTCACATGCAACCTTGAGTTTAGTGGTTAATTACTTACATGTAACCTTGAGTTTAGTGGTTCCTCACTTACATGTAACCTTGAGTTTAGTGGTTCCTTACTTACATGTAACCTTGAGTTTAGTAGTTAATTACTTACATGTAACCTTGAGTTTAGTGGTTCCTCACTTACATGTAACCTTGAGTTTAGAGGTTCCTTACTTACATGTAACCTTGAGTTTAGTGGTTCCTTACATGTAACCTTGAGTTTAGTAGTTAATTACTTACATGTAACCTTGAGTTTAGTGGTTCCTCACTTACATGTAACCTTGAGTTTAGTAGTTAATTACTTACATGTAACCTTGAGTTTAGTGGTTCCTTACTTACATGTAACCTTGAGTTTAGTAGTTAATTACTTACATGTAACGTTGAGTTTAGTGGTTCCTCACTTACATGTAACCTTGAGTTTAGTAGTTAATTACTTACATGTAAACTTGAGTTTAGAGGTTCCTTACTCACATGCAACCTTGAGTTTAGTGGTTCCTTACTTACATGTAACCTTGAGTTTAGTGGTTCCTCACTTACATGTAACCTTGAGTTTAGTAGTTAATTACTTACATGTAAACTTGAGTTTAGAGGTTCCTCACTTACATGTAACCTTGAGTTTAGTGGTTCCTTACTTACATGTAACCTTGAGTTTAGTAGTTAATTACTCACATGTAACCTTGAGTTTAGTAGTTAATTACTTACATGTAACCTTGAGTTTAGTGGTTCCTCACTCACATGCAACCTTGAGTTTAGTAGTTAATTACTTACATGTAACCTTGAGTTTAGTGGTTCCTTACTTACATGTAACCTTGAGTTTTGAGGTTCCTTACTTACATGTAACCTTGAGTTTAGTAGTTAATTACTTACATGTAACCTTGAGTTTAGTGGTTCCTTACCTACATGTAACCTTGAGTTTTGAGGTTCCTTACTTACATGTAACCTTGAGTTTAGAGGTTACACATATTTACGACTTGCTGAACTCAAGTTTATATGATTTTTGCTCTTCGCTAATTAAACTCTGTTTACATGAAATAAGTGTCTTATTTGATTCAGTTGCATGTAAGTAAGAAGCTACTAGACTCAATGTCACAGACAAGTACACTTAACACTTCACTTGTTCAAGGTTACAAACTTATAACTCAAACCTCCTGTTACATTAGGTAGAAAAATTCTTATACAATGGTTTTTCACTTTGAAATTGAAGGTTCTGTCTGTCACATAGAAACATTCCCTTGCACTAGATAGCTTGGAACTCCAACTTGATTTATTATAGTCAGAGTGTGGACAATAAAATAGCACTGGCTTCACCTAACAACAGTATAATACCTGTATTGTAGGTAAATACACACTCAGGCATATTACTAGGGAGGTACTATGGTATTGAAATGTCACTTAATGAATTGTTTTTTGTTGTTGTTTTTTTGCACTTTAGAGGTAGGCAAGAGGACCAGTGTTCTGGTGAATGCCAACACTACCAATGTGCTGCTTGGGGCCATCGTCAGGGAGACGGAGGAACAAGCTACATGTGATGATTTACTACTCTGTGCCCACCAAGTCCTGGCCAAGCTGGCCCAGAAAGGTCCACATCATTGGATGACTCTCATCACTTATTCTTTACATTTGATAAAGGCCTTTAATAATATTTTCATGGCAGAATTTTTCTGTGTTAGCGAACTGAAAGCCACAAATTAATCGTGTTTTCAGCAAAATTCATAAAAGCCAAACAGATTTAAATCATAAGATACAAAGATGGTGCCAGAGAACGTCGTATAATTACGTTGACATGACTTGAAAAAATAACCATTGTTTTAATTGGTTTTAATTAGATATTATTAATGACTAAATTTAATGTAGATTATGTACATTATAGTTTTTATCTCCTAGTTTTCATCAAGATTTCATATAATCTTTTAATGTTGTTATAGATCGAAAGATTGCCTTGAAAGCTAGACTTAATCGTGCCTTACCCATCACACTGAGTTTAATCAAAAATAACTCCTGTAACTTCAAGTACCTCCAGACCTACCTACAGGTGTTCAAATATTACACCAACAACAGTGAGTTCTTACTGATAATTCTCACGTAATGTTTTACTTTGTATGAGATGTAATACTTTTATGTAAAATATAATATTTTTTAATGAGTTGTAATACTTTGTAAAGATGTTATACTTTGTATGAAATGTAATACTTTTAGGTGAGATATGTAAGATGTAATACTTTAAAATGTAATATCTTGTGTGGGTGACAGGTAGGCCTGTGGCTTACCATGGGATCTGTTGTCAGTCTGACAATTTTTTCGGCACATCAGTGATCGTTAAAAGCATTATAGAGACTTATTTTGACCAATTATGGTCTGAAGCATTCTTGGAGAGAAAAGGAACAAACTTTCTTTAAGTGGTGGGTCTCTGCTGCCAAGAGCCTGAGAAGTGAGGCCCAAAGTGGGAAATTTTGCAAGTTCTTTTAAATTACCCTCCTTTCTTCATGAATGATTGGATTTTGCCTAAATTTGGTCTGAAGCATCCATGGGTGAATGGATCGCAACTGTGTATAAAAAGTTGGTCTTGATGCCCTGGAGCAGGAGATGTAGGCCAAATAGGGAAAACTCTTAAAATCATCCTTTTTCTGTAGAACCATCAGGATTCTGTTTCAATTTGGTCTGAAGTATGAATCAGTTTTGTATAAATGGTGGGTCTCTGATGCCAGGGACTGGAGGGGTAGGGCCTAATATAGAAAATAGGAAATACCCAACCGTTTTTGTCTGAAATATCACCTAGGAAGGACAATAATATGAAATGAAAATTTTGGTCATCAGATGAGCCTCTTATAGTGAGATGTAATACTTAAATGAAGAATTCTTAAATTATGGGAGATGTGCTTCCTTGTGGTAGATGAGACATTTGAACAGTTGCTTGCTTTACAAAACTATGATTACACTCTGTTAATTAATTCTAACCAAGGTGTGAATGCTTCCTACCTGGGTAAACACAATGCCATTCCTCCGATGTTCCGAGTCATACAGCAGTGTGGACGAAAACACATTACCATGCTTAAATTGGCCCTTGATATCCTCAACAACCTCACAAAGTCTCGTAAGTTTACTGTTCATTAGCAACCTCACAAAGTCTTGTAAGTTTACTTGTAAATTTACTGATCATCAACAACCTCACAAAGTCACATAAGTTTACTGTCCATCAACAACCTCACAAAGTCACATAAGTTTACTGTCCATCAACAACCTCACAAAGTCACATAAGTTTACTGTCCATCAACAACCTCACAAAGTCACATAAGTTTACTGTCCATCAACAACCTCACAAAGTCACATAAGTTTACTGTCCATCAACAACCTTACAAAGTCATGTTATTTTTCTGTTCCTGAACAATCTGAAGGCCGTGTATTTATTGATGTTATACAAATACAACATTTAGAAATGAACAATGTCAGATTTGTTTCCATCAAAGTTGAGGCAGGTAATCAAGAAGATTTGTTTTTTCACCAGGAAATAATGCCGCCCGTACAATCGGTGGAGAACATGTACCTCATCTACTTGCCTTGTATCATGAATGGCATCAGATGGACACAAAACATCGCCATGTGTCTGTCCGCAAGGGTATCCTCAATATCATCAAGAACATCACGAATCTCAGTAAGTACTCGAATACAGTACAATCAACATCACGAACCTCAGTAAGTACTCGAATACAGTACAATCAACATCACGAACCTCAGTAAGTACTCGAATACAGTACAATCAACATCACGAACCTCAGTAAGTACTCGAATACAGTATACACAACATCACAAACCTCAGTAAGTACTCGGAATACAGTACAATCAACATCACGAACGTCAGTAAGTACTCGGAATACAGTACAATCAGCATCACGAACGTCAGTAAGTACTCGAATACAGTACAATCAACATCACGAACAGTATACACAACATCACGAACCTCAGTACTCGAATACAGTATACACAACATCACAAACCTCAGTAAGTACTCGGAATACAGTACAATCAACATCACGAACGTCAGTAAGTACTCGGAATACAGTACAATCAACATCACGAACCTCAGTAAGTACTCGAATACAGTATACACAACATACACAACATTACATCACGAACCTCAGTAAGTACTCGAATACAGTACAATCAACATCACGAACCTCAGTAAGTACTCGAATACAGTACAATCAACATCACGAACCTCAGTAAGTACTCGAATACAGTATACACAACATCACAAACCTCAGTAAGTACTCGAATACAGTACAATCAACATCACGAACCTCAGTAAGTACTCGAATACAGGAATACAGTACAGTATACACAACATCACAACCTCAGTAAGTACTCGAATACAGTACAACAACAACGAATCACGAACAACATCAGAACCTAAGTACTCGAATACAGTACAATACACAACATCACGAACCTCAGAATACAGTATACACAACATACTCAGTAAGTAATACAGTACAATCAACATCACGAACCTCACTAAGTACTCGAATACAGTATACACAACATTACAACCTCAATAAGTACTCAAATACAGTATACACAACATCACAAACCTCAGTAAGTACTCAAATACAGTACAATCAACATCACAAACCTCAGTTAGTACTCGAATACAGTATACACAACATCACAAACCTCAGTTAGTACTCGAATACAGTACAATCAACATCACGAACCTCAGTAAGTACTCGAATACAGTATACACAACATCATGAACCTCAGTAAGTACTCGAATACAGTATACACAACATCACAAACCTCAGTAAGTACTCGAATACAGTACAATCAACATCACGAACCTCAGTAAGTACTCGAATACAGTATACACAACATCACGAACCTCAGTAAGTACTCGAATACAGTATACACAACATTACAACCTCAGTAAGTACTCGAATACAGTATACACAACATCACGAACCTCAGTAAGTACTCTCGAATACAGTATACACAACATCATGAACCTCAACGAATACAGTCAATCAACATCGAACCTCAGTAAGTACTCAAATACAGTACAATCAACATCACGCACCTCAGTAAGTACTCGAATACAGTACAATCAACATCACGAACCTCAGTAAGTACTCGAATACAGTATACACAACATTACAACCTCAGTAAGTACTCGAATACAGTATACACAACATCACGAACCTCAGTAAGTACTCGAATACAGTATACACAACATCACGAACCTCAGTAAGTACTCGAATACAGTACAATCAACATCACGAACCTCAGTAAGTACTCGAATACAGTACAATCAACATCACGAACCTCAGTAAGTACTCGGAATACAGTACAATCAACATCACGAATCTCAGTAAGTACTCGAATACAGTACAATCAACATCACGAACCTCAGTAAGTACTCGAATACAGTATACACAACATCACGAACCTCAGTAAGTACTCGAATACAGTATACACAACATCACGAACCTCAGTAAGTACTCGAATACAGTATACACAACATCACAAACCTCAGTAAGTACTCGAATACAGTACAATCAACATCACGCACCTCAGTAAGTACTCGAATACAGTATACACAACATTGCAACCTCAGTAAGTACTCGAATACAGTATAAACAACATCACAAATATCTGTAAGTAATTGGGTACAGTATACACAACATCACAAATGCCTGTTAGTACTTGCGAGTAATTTTTCATCCTTGTGCTGGTCTACAGAGTCTGGGAGGAAGGTTTTAGCTGATGCCAATGGTATACAGATCCTGTATGATAGCTCTCAGGAAGTGATTGACTGTCGGGAGATGGAGAGTCTGATTCTCTTGGCAAGTGTCATAATGAGAAAGTGCTGTCCCAGGAACAAACTCCCTCTCAACAGCTTGAAGTGTCCTATGTCATTTGAACTTCCAGAGAGTGATCTTTACCCGGAGTCTAGCAGACAAGGTAAGTCATTTCTCTAATATAGAAAAATAATGTCATACAAGCTCCCAGAGAGTGATCTTTACAGGAAGTCTAGCAAACAAGGTAAGTCATTTCTCTAATATAGAAAAAACAATATCATACAAGCTCCCAGAGAGTGATTGTACTGGTGTCCAACACAGGGTGGTGTAAATCTCCAATGATCTCCTAAGTTGTGGTGAATAAATTGAATTTGATTCTTCAGATTGCACATCTAGTGTGTTTGGCTTCTCTGGGGAATCACAAGACAGTGACAATAGTTCTCTGGAGGACGATGACGACATTGACAGTGATGATGAACGCTTCAAAACCGACCCTCCAGAGGAGGTAGGTTGTACTGTGTGGTTTTGTATGTGACAAAGGACCACAACAACTCAATTTCAGTTACAAGGTCAAGGTCAGCTTCAGGTTTCTGGAAGTTAAAAATTCTTACTTAATCTTGTGGCTTTGTTACTGTAGGGATTACATCACATAAAGGACCATTATATCTCTGATGATTGGAAATTTCGGAATATTAGGATCAAAATCACTTTTTTTAGAAAATCCTGATTTCTCATCCAGAATTTCAAGATGGCCACCATTTGGCACTTTTAAATATTTATATTGATGTCTCTTATGTACTGATGGTTTGATCCACTTACCAGGGCTGATTCATAAAATATTTGTGTAAATAGTACTTCATGTCATCAGCAGGGTTTGTCCTGTATGTCGGTCTGTCTAGCTGTGTCTGTCTGTTTGTCTGTCTGTCTAGCTGTGTCTGTCTGTCTGTCTGTCTAGCTGTGTCTGTCTGTCTATCTGTCTGTCTCTCTGCTTCTGTCTGTCTGTCTTTTTGTCTGTCTGTCTAGCTGTGTCTGTCTGTCTAGCTGTGTCTGTCTGACTGGCTGGCTAGCTGGCTATCTGGCTGGCTGACTGAAAATCTGAAAAACTGTTGAAACACTGTGACTTCAGAGGTTGTCATGATTCAAGCATGAGTTTCCTATTGGCAGGTGGAGGAGGACCAAGGAAGGGCACCAGAACCCTTCAGACGTATGGCTGAGGACCTGAGGATGTATGATACTTTCTTCCCAGAGCTGTTTGAAATTGAGGTGAGAATAACATAAGTCTGGAACAACTCTTTTCTACTTGACTATAATTTCATGTTTTTGCTGCCGAACAGGAACCAGGACAGACAATAGTTTTGTATAGTGTCTGTCCATCTATCCTTCTGCCCATCTTTCTCTCTGTCTGTAGACAGAGTGCCAGGTACCATTGAAATTTGATGTTGCTCCTAAAGTAATTTACATTTTAACCATTTTGTTTTTTCTAGAGAGAATTATACGCTTTTTGTAAAAAGTGTTAACTACTGACACAACCACATCAGGAATGGTGCCCCTTTAATAAGATTGCATCACAACCATTTTTGGAATTATCACTTGGCATGTCATATTGTTACATATTTCCAAATAACTTTGCATTACCTGATCCTGACCAGGGGGCCTTGTCAATGTGTCTTAGTATAGGTAATTAAACACAACTTTGTTTCAGGACATGTTTACTGTTTACAATATGTGGTGTATGAAATGTAATCACAGCAAAAATTTTTTTTTTTTAAGTTTTTTTTTTGAGGAGGGTGGTGGGGGGGGGGGGGGGGGGAGAGGAGTGGCAGGGAGAGATTATTAATAGGACCAGGACATTTCCTGTGAGGTAGAAATTGTTCCCCTGAGTAATTAATGTGGTTTGAGTATAATCATTTGTTCAGGACGGCTGTCAGCAGGATTATGAAATTTGAAGTTTTTGATTGTTGTGATTGGTGCTGATCAATTACATAGTTAATGTGAAGGTTATTTCTGATGGAAAACTCCTAGAGAGAAACAACAGACATGTATTTTCTTCTGTACAAAGATCCTTGACTATTGTTCCAGGTGGATGATGAGGATGATGAGGTAGCACCACCAAACTCTATCTACATTCCCACAGGAACATACGAGTCTTACCAAGGACTACCAACTATGGGTGAGCGAGAGCTCTCCTGTCCAGCTGGAATGTTCCGCATGGCTAGTACCATGAGTTACACCAGTTCTAAAAGTAGTGGCTACAGTTCACTACGCTGTGAAGGCTACCCAGATCCTGTGGAGAGGTGTGACTCTGCCACAGCCATCAACCTTAAAACAGGAACAAGTGTCTTCTCTTTAGATCTACCTCAGTCAGTTCAGCCAAGCAAAAGTGCCCTAAAGAAACCGTCAATGGTGCTTAAATCAAATACAACTCTGTCCAGTAATAAAAAATCTAAAAGTTCTAAAAAATCTCAAAAGGACAAAAAATCTTCTAAAAAGGTGAGTTGTTCTAGCTTGGCGAGTTCGATGGCTTCGTCAAGTATCCGTGAGAATGTTGAATTGGAATCTGAGTTTGTGAACTCATTGTGTATCACTCCCGCACCTGTACGGGAGTCCGTGGATGATATTGACCGTGTGCTGATGAGCTCAAGTAGTGAGGAGGAGGACTTGGAGGGATGTCTTCATGACACTGTCGTTTTCCAGGAAATAGGTCGTCTGACAAAAGGTGTCTACAGATTTGAGAAGCTAGCATATCCAGATCTTATAGGAGCAAAAGGTGTACCGACAAACGAACCACTTTATCACCGCAAGTTTGGAGTCCAAAGGTAGAGTAGAGTTTAATCATATCAAGTCTAGGAGTCCAAAGGCACAGTAGAGTTTAATGATATCAAGTTTAGATGTGCAAAGGTAGAGAAGGGCTTAAGGATATCTAATTTGGAGTCTAATGGTGGAGTAGGGCTTAAGGATATCTAATTTGGAGTCTAATGGTGGAGTAGGGCTTAAGGATATCAAGTTTGGAGTCCAAAGGTAGAGTAGGACTTAAGGATATCAAGTTTGGAGTCCAAAGGTAGAGTAGGACTTAAGGATATCAAGTTCGGAGTCCAAAGGTAGAGTAGGACTTAAGGATATCAAGTTTGGAGTCCAAAGGTAGAGTAGGACTAATGGATATCAAGTTTGGAGTCCAAAGGTAGAGTAGGACTTAAGGATATCAAGTTTGGAGTCCAAAGGTAGAGTAGGACTTAAGGATATGAAGTTCGGAGTCCAAAGGTAGAGTAGGGCTTAAGGATATCAAGTAAATAAATAAGGTGTTAACTGTAAGCAGTAAATATGATTTCAGGGCCAAGGTGTTTGAGGACATTGACAGAATGATTCACCCAGAGAATATAATAGATAGGGATGTGTATGACCTGGATGCTCTAGTGAAGAGGACTGGGGCTGCCTATACTATACCTAACCAAAATCTACTTAACAGGGACCCTATGAGGTAGGTGAAGCCTACACAGGTTAATTTTGTTATGTTTGTTATATTTGATAATAGTTGTATACAGTGCTGTAACAGTTTAGCGTCAATACACTACTTCCATCCAGTCAGGTTTTGACATAACAAAATCAACAGTACAAAGGGCTTTGACTGCTGTGAAATGTTATAGGATTTACTCTGTACATTGGGTATGAAAACTATATACATGATATTCAACTCACATTACACACATTATATGATAGGATCCAGACTCCTGTAAACATCAGATTAACGCCTTATTCTGTCTTGATGTAAGGTTTTTACACCCGGGTAAATGGAGTTTATGATAATCCTAATTAACACTTCTGAATGGAAACTGTTGATAAGATATGAAGACTGTTGGAATCATCGACACATTTCTGCCAACAGATTTCCAACTTATGTAACACTTTATCACACCTCCCCAATTTCTTCTTCTATATCATCTGCTCATATCTCTCCTGACATACAATATTCAACTTGTATTAAAATAAATGGTACTTCAAGTGATTTCACAAAACTTTCTAAAATTGAAGTCAACTTGTCAAAGTCAATAAAACACAAATGTAGTTGTTTTAAAAATGTGTTTTGTGGTTTGTGGAGTCTGTGAGTTGTCTAGTACATGTATACACAGTGTGTATAACTGATTTGTGGAGTCTGTGAGTTGTCTAGTACATGTATACACAGTGTGTATAACTGATTTGTGGAGTCTGTGAGTTGTCTAGTACATGTATACACAGTGTGTACAACTGATTTGTGGAGTCTGTGAGTTGTCTAGTACATGTATACACAGTGTGTATAACTGATTTGTGGAGTCTGTGAGTTGTCTAGTACATGTATACACAGTGTGTATAACTTATTTGTGGAGTCTGTGAGTTGTCTAGTACATGTATACACAGTGTGTGTATAACTGATTTGTGGAGTCTGTGAGTTGTCTAGTACATGTGTACACAGTGTGTATAACTGATTTGTGGAGTCTGTGAGTTGTCTAGTACATGTATACACAGTGTGTGTATAACTGATTTGTGGAGTCTGTGAGTTGTCTAGTACATGTATACACAGTGTGTATAACTGATTTGTGGAGTCTGTGAGTTGTCTAGTACATGTATACACAGTGTGTGTATAACTGATTTGTGGAGTCTGTGAGTTGTCTAGTACATGTATACACAGTGTGTATAACTGATTTGTGGAGTCTGTGAGTTGTCTAGTACATGTATACACAGTGTGTATAACTGATTTGTGGAGTCTGTGAGTTGTCTAGTACATGTATACACAGTGTGTATAACTGATTTGTGGAGGTTGTGAGTTGTCTAGTACATGTATACACAGTGTGTGTATAACTTATTTGTGGAGTCTGTGAGTTGTCTAATACATGTATACACAGTGTGTGTACAACTGATTTGTGGAGTCTGTGAGTTGTTGAGTATTTAAATTAATTGAAATATTATTGATAAGTAAGATGAGAGCATCAAACTTTTGGTGGAATTAATGTTTGTAGTTAATGATTACCTAGGTAACTGTTCCTTTATTCACAGAGTAGGCAGCCAGCTTGAAGTGACAGCAGCCAATTCTCTACAATTTAATTCTCAGTTTGAGAGCGGAAATCTGCGCAAGGCTATTTGGGTAGGTATGAGAAATCAGAAATGTTGTTACATATATAAGAGTATGTGTGAGACCTGATCAACAGCTGTGTGTTTGTTATTACACACAGTAAAGTATGAGTGTGACCTGATAACCATCTGTGTGTTTGTTATTACACACAGTAAAGTATGAGTGTGACCTGATAATCATCTGTGTGTTTGTTATTACACACAGTAAAGTATGAGTGTGACCTGATAACCATCTGTGTGTTTGTTATTACACAGAGTAAAGTATGAGTGTGACCTGATAACCATCTGTGTGTTTGTTATTACACACAGTAAAGTATGAGTGTGACCTGATAACCATCTGTGTGTTGTGTTATTACACACAGTAAAGTATGAGTGTGACCTGATAACCATCTGTGTGTTGTGTTATTACACACAGTAAAGTATGAGTGTGACCTGATAACCATCTGTGTGTTGTGTTATCACACACAGTAAAGTATGAGTGACCTGATAACCAGCTGTGTGTTGTGTTATTACACACAGTAAAGTATGAGTGTGACCTGATAACCATCTGTATGTTGTGTTATTACACACAGTAAAGTATGAGTGCGACCTGATAACCAGCTGTGTGTTGTGTTATTACACACAGTAAAGTATGAGTGTGACCTGATAACCATCTGTGTGTTTGTTATTACACACAGTAAAGTATGACTGACCTGATAACCATCTGTGTGTTGTGTTATTACACACAGTAAAGTATGAGTGTGACCTGATAACCATCTGTGTGTTTGTTATTACACACAGTAAAGTATGAGTGACCTGATAACCATCTGTGTGTTGTGTTATTACACACAGTAAAGTATGAGTGTGACCTGATAACCATCTGTGTGTTTGTTATTACACACAGTAAAGTATGAGTGTGACCTGATAACCATCTGTGTTTGTTATTACACACAGTAAAGTATGAGTGTGACCTGATAACCAGCTGTGTGTTTGTTATTACACACAGTAAAGTATGAGTGTGACCTGATAACCAGCTGTGTGTTTGTTATTACACACAGTAAAGTATGAGTGTGACCTGATAACCATCTGTGTGTTTGTTATTACACACAGTAAAGTATGAGTGTGACCTGATAATCATCTGTGTGTTTGTTATTACACACAGTAAAGTATGAGTGTGACCTGATAACCATCTGTGTGTTGTGTTATTACACACAGAAAAGTATGAGTGTGACCTGATAACCATCTGTGTGTTTGTTATTACACACAGTAAAGTATGAGTGTGACCTGATAACCAGCTGTGTTTGTTATTACACACAGTAAAGTATGAGTGTGACCTGATAACCAGCTGTGTGTTTGTTATTACACACAGTAAAGTATGAGTGTGACCTGATAACCATCTGTGTGTTTGTTATTACACACAGTAAAGTATGAGTGTGACCTGATAACCATCTGTGTGTTTGTTATTACACACAGTAAAGTATGAGTGTGACCTGATAATCATCTGTGTGTTTGTTATTACACACAGTAAAGTATGAGTGTGACCTGATAACCATCTGTGTGTTGTGTTATTACACACAGTAAAGTATTAGTGTGACCTGATAACCATCTGTGTGTTGTGTTATCACACACAGTAAAGTATGAGTGTGACCTGATAACCATCTGTGTGTTTGTTATTACACACAGTAAAGTATGAGTGTGACCTGATAACCATCTGTGTTTGTTATTACACACAGTAAAGTATGAGTGTGACCTGATAACCAGCTGTGTGTTTGTTATTACACACAGTAAAGTATGAGTGTGACCTGATAACCATCTGTGTGTTGTGTTATTACACACAGTAAAGTATGAGTGTGACCTGATAACCATCTGTGTGTTGTGTTATTACACACAGTAAAGTATGAGTGTGACCTGATAACCATCTGTGTGTTTGTTATTACACACAGTAAAGTATGAGTGACCTGATAACCATCTGTGTGTTGTGTTATTACACACAGTAAAGTATGAGTGACCTGATAACCAGCTGTATGTTGTGTTATTACACAGAGTAAAGTATGAGTGACCTGATAACCATCTGTGTGTTTGTTATTACACACAGTAAAGTATGAGTGTGACCTGATAACCATCTGTGTGTTTGTTATTACACACAGTAAAGTATGAGTGTGACCTGATAACCATCTGTGTGTTTGTTATTACACACAGTAAAGTATGAGTGTGACCTGATAACCATCTGTGTGTTGTGTTATTACACACAGTAAAGTATGAGTGTGACCTGATAACCAGCTGTGTGTTTGTTATTACACACAGTAAAGTATGAGTGTGACCTGATAACCATCTGTGTGTTTGTTATTACACAGAGTAAAGTATGAGTGTGACCTGATAACCAGCTGTATGTTGTGTTATTACACACAGTAAAGTATGAGTGTGACCTGATAACCAGCTGTATGTTGTGTTATTACAGATACGAGACTATGAATATGACCTGATAACCAGCTGTATGTTGTGTTATTACAGATACGAGACTATGAATATGACCTGATAACCAGCTGTATGTTGTGTTATTACAGATATGAGACTATGAATATGACCTGATAACCAGTTGTATGTTGTGTTATTACAGATACGAGACTATGAATATGACCTGATAACCAGCTGTATGTTGTGTTATTACAGATACGAGACTATGAATATGACCTGATAACCAGCTGTATGTTGTGTTATTACAGATACGAGACTATGAATATGACCTGATAACCATCTGTATGTTGTGTTATTACAGATACGAGACTATGAATATGACCTGATACTGAACCCTGATGTCAACACTAACCACCATCACCAATGGTTCTACTTTGAAGTCAGCAATATGGTGGCTGATGTACCGTACAGATTTAACATTATTAATTGTGAGAAACTCAACAGCCAATTTAACTTCGGTAAGTTTGATGTATTATCAGGTATTGAACATAAATTACCTTTGATATTTGATATCTTTCTGTTGTTTCATATATAAAGGAAAATATTGATTGTATTATTTCTTATTATTATACGTATAGCTGAGGGTAAGGATGTCAGATTGGTTGTTTTCAGTGTTAGAGTTGAGATCTAATGCGTGACACCTTAAGTGATAGGATTTTTTTTCTGATACAGGTATGAAACCTGTCATGTTTTCTGTGTCTGATGCTCTGGATGGAAAACCTCACTGGTCACGTGTAGGAACAGATATCTGTTACTACAGAAACCATTTTACACGGAGTGCCCAGGCTACGGGTGGAGTCAAGGGGAAAACATACTATACAACAACCTTCACAGTCAAATTCAAACACAGCAAAGATGTGTGTTACCTTGCCTACCATTACCCATATACCTACACAACCCTACAGGTAGGTACTCTCTCCTACACAACCCTACAGATAGGTACTCTCCCCTACACAACCCTACAGGTAGGTACTCTCCCCTACACAACCCTAAAGGTAGGTACTCTCTCCTATGCCTACAAAGGGAAGACAGATGTAAATCTTTAAAATGCCATTTTCGTTTGTTTGGATGGAGCATTTTAAGTCCAGAAAATCCAGATGAATGATATTGGCTGCTTGTCATTGTTTTGTTCCCTGGTACATTCTTCTTTGATTTGGACATAATAGTATATGATTCAGTGTTGTTAAAAATGTTTACCTTCTGAAATACAAGACCTTGATATAACAAGAGAACAGGCTAAGATAACACCATAGTGTTGTTCTGGTGTATCTGTTATTATAGTATAGAACATTGTCACATACCGGTACATGACATTTTTGTTTCAGAGTCACCTGAGTGTTTGGGAGAGGATAGTTGACAATCGAACCATTTTCTTCAGGAAACAGGACTTGTGTGAGACAATGACTGGTAACAGTGTTCCTGTCCTGACCATCACAGCCCAGCCAAAAACTTACAGTCGGGAACATGTAGAAGAACTTAGTGAGTAATAATAAGGGCAGCATGGGTCTGTCCATCTGTCATCTATACAGTTGTCATCCGTCATCTATACAGCTGTCATCCGTCATCTATACAGTTGTCATCCGTCATCTATACAGCTGTCATCCGTCATCTATACAGCTGTCATCTGTCATCTGACATCTATACAGCTGTCATCTGTCATCTGGCATCTATACAGCTGTCATCTATACAGCTGTCATCTGACATCTATACAGCTGTCATCTGTCATCTGACATCTATACAGCTGTCATCTGTCATCTGGCATCTATACAGCTGTCATCTGTCATCTATACAGCTGTCATCTGTCATCTGACATCTATACAGCTGTCATCTGTCATCTGGCATCTATACAGCTGTCATCTGTCATCTGGCATCTATACAGCTGTCATCTGGCATCTATACAGCTGTCATCTGACATCTATACAGCTGTCATCTGTCATCTGGCATCTATACAGCTGTCATCTGTCATCTGGCATCTATACAGCTGTCATCTGTCATCTATACAGCTGTCATCTGTCATCTATACAGCTGCCATCTGATATCTATACAGCTGTCATCTATACAGCTGTCATCTGTCATATATTATAAGACTCTTTCATATGCGTGTATGTAGGATAGGGATATTCCACCCGAGGGTCACAAAATATGGTGAAACCCCAGGCTCTGCCGAGGGTTTTACCATATTTTGTAACCCCAAGGGTGGAATATCCCTATCCTACATACACACATAATGGAAGAGTCTTTTTCTCTCATATCTTTACCAAAATTTTGGGAAAAGGACTGTCTGTCGGCCATTATCTTCATTTTTTTCATTTTTTTAATCCGAGGTTTTTATAAAAAACGAACTGGATATTCTCAACGATCATACCCATATTTTGCAAACTTACAGTTTGCTGTCAAATTTCAAACCATTTTTTGGTACATTGCAGGATGAATATATTATTCGCAGATGAAAAAAAACAAAAAAGATCTCTGTTTGATTATATAGTATGTGTAAGTAAACATCTGTGAAAAGAACTTGTTCTGTCAAATACTTCAAAGAAATCAACAAGGAACGGATTTTTATAGTTCAACATATAGTTTTATCATCAAAATCACATATTTGATCATTTTAAGAAATATATCAATGTATCTTTTTACTGTTTTACATTTTTTCAAAATACTGTGACGCTGACATGACGTCACCACAGTCAAAGGAATTCCATTCATAAATTCAAGGCGTGACGTCACACGATCTCCTATTCTGAGTTGCTGTCACTCTCGATCACCATGATTCGACGACGTTTGGGTGGTGGAACATTTGTGGTGATATTTACGGTGATTAGGCAATTTTCAATGTGAGAACCAGCAAACAAGGATTCGATGCGAGTTTCAGATTGTTTCTGTGATACAGGATTGTAGGTGTTAACCGTGTTTTCTTGTTGTGATGACGATGGTAGACACACTGTGACATCAGATGTAGGCCTAGTAACTGTTGAAGTTGATGAAATGGTGGCAGAGGATGGTGTTCGGTTTGATGGAATTAATTCGGAGCTTTTTGTGTTTGACAACATATTGTAAGAGTTGTCTCCCCTGAACACAGATTACTCCACGAACGTGTTTGCCCATGTAAGATAGAATTTTCTTACATAGCTATCTTACATGGGCAAACTCTATCCAATATGGCGGGATATGAGAGAATAACAGAATCTTCCCCTACCCTGAGGGTGTGATAGACAAATCTCCAACCCGAGGGGTGATTTTTGTTGTTGTCTAACCCGAGGCTCTGCCCCGAGGGTTGGAGATTTTTCTGTCACATCCTCTGAGGGTAGGGGTTGATTATTTTTCTCCCATCCCATTATTTCTGCCACGACGTAAAAAAAAAAAAAAATCCCACGGTACAAGTGTCTGAATGGCGCATGAATATCACCATTCACGTTTCCAAAATTCTACATTCTTCCGCGAGAGCAAAAATGACAGACTACAAACGCAATATGAATAACCATTAGAAATATTAATTTTGTGGAAATTAGATATTTTAATTAGAGATAGATACATGGAAATACTTGTATTGAACAACATTTAACTCTGTATCATTTATTAAGGTAGGGTAGGCTTGCTGCGATGTCATGGACAAAAAGGGGATTTCCCAGTTTATAATGACGTCAATTGTTTATGCGCGCGAAAAATTGCAATGGTGCGAGTGTCACGCGTGTGTTCATTCAGAATCAGAGTCATAGATGATCCTCCGACATTTATTTGTGTTCACTGGACAAGGATTGATATAGTTAATGTTAACTGTGGTGTTACAGTCATGCATTACGGAACCTGCAAACAAAGCATCCACTCGTCGGTTTGAGTAAGTTGTGATAGCCGACTGAGGTCACCGAGTGCAGTCATGTGGGATAGATTTATCCTCCATGGGTGTTCCACATAGGACATGTCTATCCTACATGGGCTGAGGTGGGAGAAACAGCTGTCATCTGACATCTATACAGCTGTCATCTGACATCTATATAACTGTCATCTGACATCTATATAACTGTCATCAGTCCATTCATCCACTTTTTTCTACAATTTACTTCTGGTAATAAACAAGTGGGTTGACTCAGATTCAACCTTGTGGGGCCCCATAGAGGAAACAGACTAAATTCTCTATAATCCTTTTTTCTGTAGGAGGACCTGTATTATGTCCCAATTTGGTCTGCAGTATCCTTGGGATGAATCCCCATGTTCCCTAGTGAAGCCCTTTTAGTTTTGAGGCTTGCCATAAAAATAAAAAGACAGACAGGCAGCCATTTTTTCTTTTGACTATGTAGATAGAAATAGAGGTACTCCAACACAATTATTAGGCAAGGTGGTCCAGCATTCTGTGGGTAGTGGTAGTCTGTGGACCAATCTAAGGTAGATACCACAGCATTTTAGTACAACTCCAACATTTTTTTTGTGATCAAATAAATGATGTGTTTCCATGAGAAATAGAGAGTATTTGTTTTTACTTTCAGAATCTAGACCGTACATCTTCTTATCCGGAAGAGTTCATCCAGGAGAGAGTAACTCTAGTTGGGTTATGAAAGGTAACATACCTGTATTACAACAATGAAACCCTGATATCTTAAAAAGAATTAATTAGTTATTAGATATATAATTATCCCTCATTCATTGGTGAAGGTTAAAGGTGATCTGTCTATGGGGATATCTATGATAAGGGTATGTATAATGGGAATATCTATGATAAGGGTATGTATTATGGGAATATCTATGATAAGTGTATGTATTATGGGGTATATCTATGATAAGGGTATGTATTATGGGAATATCTATGATAAGGGTATGTATTATGGGAATATCTATGATAAGTGTATGTATTATGGGGTATATCTATGATAAGGGTATGTATTATGGGAATATCTATGATAAGGGTATGTATTATGGGGTATATCTATGATAAGGGTATGTATTATGGGGATATCTATGATAAGGGTATGTATTATGGGGATATCTATGATAAGGGTATGTATTATGGGGTATATCTATGATAAGGGTATGTATTATGGGGTATATCTATGATAAGGGTATATATTATGGGAATATCTATGATAAGTGTATGTATTATGGGGTATATCTATGATAAGGGTATGTATTATGGGGAATATCTATGATAAGGGTATGTATTATGGGGTATATCTATGATAAGGGTATGTATTATGGGGATATCTATGATAAGGGTATGTATTATGGGGATATCTATGATAAGGGTATGTATTATGGGGTATATCTATGATAAGGGTATATATTATGGGGATATCTATGATAAGGGTATATATTATGGGTGTGTCTATGATAAGGGTATGTATTATGGGGATATCTATAAGGGTATGTATTATAGGGATATCTATGATAAGGGTATGTATTGTGGGGTATATCTATGGTAAGGGTATATATTATGGGATATCTATGATAAGGGTATGTATTGTGGGGTATATCTATGGTAAGGGTATATATTATGGGATATCTATGATAAGGGTATGTATTGTGGGGTATATCTATGATAAGGGTATGTATTATAGGGATATCTATGTTAGGGTATGTATTATGGGGATATCTATGATAAGGGTATGTATTATGGGGATATCATAGGATATGTATTATGGGGATATCTATGATAAGGGTATATATTATGGGGATATCTATGTTAGGGTTTAGGTCAACTGACTTGAAGGGTCATTTTGTCTGTGGTTGTTTTATGCAAAACTGTCATTCTTAAATCTTTAAATTTCAAAATTCTTAAGTTCCATCAATGAATCTGCTGAAACTTGCCTGAATGATCCTGAGATGGTCCTGACCAAGTTCTGTTATTTTTTACAGACTCATTGTAAAAAGTATATTTCAAACTTTTTCAATTTTTTTTTTTCTTCCTTTTTTTTTGGACCCGCGAAAAGTTTAGTATGGTAGTTGTAGCAGCTGCTTTGTTATGGTCCTTACCAAGTGTTTTAGTGAAATCCATAGTGGCCGGCATGATCACCATATTGAAAAACATATTTTTAAACTTATGATTGTTAAGAAACTGAAATCTTTTTGCCTCTACTGCCAAAATATTCTGAACTATTTTAATGTTTTAGTACCTGTTCTACTACTAGTAACTGCTATATTGTATTTAGGTTTTTATAGTCAGAGTTTCAACCAATCAGTTTCATTTAAAGTGGAGATTTACAATGTTGTAGGTACTATAGACTACCTGTTGAGTAGGAAGCCTTCTGCCCAGCTCCTCAGAGAGACATACATTTTCAAGGTGGTTCCAATGTTAAACCCAGATGGTGTCATCAATGGAAAGTAAGTGTGTCCTAGAATTATTACAGGAAAGTTAGTGTGTCCTAGAATTATTACAGGAAAGTAAGTGTGTCCTAGAATTATCACAGGAAAGTTAGTGTGTCCTAGAATTATTACAGGAAAGTTAGTGTGTCCTAGAATTATTACAGGAAAGTTAGTGTGTCCTGGAATTATTACAGGAAAGTAAGTTTGTCCTAGAATTATTACAGGAAAGTCAGTGTGTCCTGGAATTATTACAGAAAAGTAAGTGTGTCGTAGAATTATTACAGGAAAGTTAGTGTGTCCTAGAATTATTACAGGAAAGTTAGTGTGTCCTAGAATTATTACAGGAAAGTTAGTGTGTCCTAGAAATTTTACTGGGGAGAGTAAGTGGTCTGTAATTTAGATTGTATAGAAATTTTACTGGAGAGAGTAAGTGGTCTGTAATTTAGATCGTAAATAAAACTCATAATAAGGGAATGCCTTTGACACAAATTCAGAATTAGAGCCAACGATTTGGAATTGATTAGTAAAAGCCAGACAATGCCAACAGAATCAACAAAAATTACATAAACTTTCAGTTCATTATGTTCACTATATTTGCAAATGATAGCTGAAAACTTGCCCCTGGAAAATTCTCCTGGCCTGTTTTACGCTACAAATAGCAGTTTAACAGAAGGCAATAGTGCCAGGACTTTGCACTGTGTGATTGACTCAGCAGACAGCGACCACAAGCTTAGCTCTGATTGGTCCCTAGTCTTTCAGGTGTAAATCGCAAATAATTTACAATATTTATACTACTATGGTGTGTCTATCATTTGTACTAAGCATGTTGTATTTATCCACCTACTAAAACATCTTGGAGACAAATTGACAAAACACACATGACAACCAAAATCCTATCGGTGAATTCACAAACATAGTAAACATGTTGAAGACAAATACTCGTTTGAACTGCATTATACATTCTTCTTTAACTTGTTAGAGATGCACACATGTTTGAAGGCAGTGATGCTGTATCTATCATGTTAATGGGATATTTTATCGTTGCAGTCATAGATGTTCTGTGGCTGCAGAGGACCTTAACCGGCGTTGGGACAACCCCTGTCCTCGATTACATCCAACCATCTACCACACCAAAGGCATGCTTCAATACATGCAGATGATCAGCAAGATTCCCCTGGTAAGAAATGATATTGTCCTGGTAAGAAATGATATTGTCCTGGTAAGAAATGATATTCTCCTGGTAAGAAATGATATTTCCCTGGTAAGAAATGATATTTCCCTGGTAAGAAATGATATTTCCCTGACATTTCCCTGGTAAGAAATGATATTCCCCTGGTAAGAAATGATATTTCCCTGGTAAGAAATGATATTTCCCTGGTAAGAAATGATATTCCCCTGGTAAGAATTGATATTTCCCTGGTAAGAAATGATATTCCCCTTGTAAGAAATGATATTCCCCTGGTAAGAAATGATATTCCCCTGGTAAGAAATGATATTGTCCTGGTAAGAAATGATATTCTCCTGGTAAGAAATGATATTCTACTGGTAAGAAATGATATTCTCCTGGTAAGAAATGATATTCTCCTGGTAAGAAATGATATTTCCCTGATATTCCCCTGGTAAGAAATGATATTTCCCTGGTAAGAAATGATATTGTCCTGGTAAGAAATGATATTCTCCTGGTAAGAATTGATATTTCCCTGGTAAGAAATGATATTTCCCTGGTAAGAAATGATATTCCCCTGGTAAGAAATGATATTCTCCTGGTAAGAAATGATATTCTCCTGGTAAGAATTGATATTTCCCTGGTAAGAAATGATATTTCCCTGGTAAGAAATGATATTCTCCTGGTAAGAAATGATATTCCCCTGGTAAGAAATGATATTCTCCTGGTAAGAAATGATATTCCCCTGGTAAGAAATGATATTCTCCTGGTAAGAAATGATATTCTCCTGGTAAGAATTGATATTTCCCTGGTAAGAAATGATATTTCCCTGGTAAGAAATGATATTCTCCTGGTAAGAAATGATATTCTCCTGGTTAGAAATGATATTCTCCTGGTAAGAATTGATATTTCCCTGGTAAGAAATGATATTGTCCTGGTAAGAAATGATATTCTCCTGGTAAGAATTGATATTTCCCTGGTAAGAAATGATATTTCCCTGGTAAGAAATGATATTTCCCTGGTAAGAAATGATATTCTCCTGGTAAGAAATGATATTCTCCTGGTAAGAATTGATATTTCCCTGGTAAGAAATGATATTTCCCTGGTAAGAAATGATATTCTCCTGGTAAGAAATGATATTCCCCTGGTAAGAAATGATATTCTCCTGGTAAGAAATGATATTCTCCTGGTAAGAATTGATATTTCCCTGGTAAGAAATGATATTTCCCTGGTAAGAAATGATATTTCCCTGGTAAGAAATGATATTCTCCTGGTAAGAAATGATATTTCCCTGGTAAGAATTGATATTTCCCTGGTAAGAAATGATATTTCCCTGGTAAGAAATGATATTCTCCTGGTAAGAATTGATATTTCCCTGGTAAGAATTGATATTTCCCTGGTAAGAAATGATATTCTCCTGGTAAGAATTGATATTTCCCTGGTAAGAAATGATATTCCCTGGTAAGAAATGATATTCTCCTGGTAAGAATTGATATTTCCCTGGTAAGAAATGATATTTCCCTGGTAAGAAATGATATTCCCCTGGTAAGAATTGATATTTCCCTGGTAAGAAATGATATTTCCCTAGTAAGAAATGATATTCTCCTGGTAAGAAATGATATTCTCCTGGTAAGAAATGATATTCTCCTGGTAAGAAATGATATTCCCCTGGTAAGAATTGATATTTCCCTGGTAAGAAATGATATTTCCCTGGTAAGAAATGATATTCTCCTGGTAAGAATTGATATTTCCCTGGTAAGAAATGATATTCCCTGGTAAGAAATGATATTCTCCTGGTAAGAATTGATATTTCCCTGGTAAGAAATGATATTTCCCTGGTAAGAAATGATATTCTCCTGGTAAGAATTGATATTTCCCTGGTAAGAAATGATATTTCCCTGGTAAGAAATGATATTTCCCTGGTAAGAAATGATATTCTCCTGGTAAGAAATGATATTCTCCTGGTAAGAAATGATATTCCCCTGGTAAGAAATGATATTCTCCTGGTAAGAAATGATATTTCCCTGGTAAGAAATGATATTCTCCTGGTAAGAAATGATATTTCCCTGGTAAGAAATGATATTTCCCTAGTAAGAAATGATATTCTCCTGGTAAGAAATGATATTCTCCTGGTTAGAAACAGGATTCCCCAGGTAGGATTCCCCTTATAAGAGACAGGCTTCTCCTAGTAAGAAACAGGCTTCCCCTAGTAAGAAACAGGATTCTCCTGGTTAGAAACAGAATTTCCCTGGTTAGAAATAGGATTCCCTTGTAAGAAACAGGATTCCCTTAGTAAAATCTGAGCTTTTGGAATCAACACCAAGGGAGTCTCATGTTTGAAAAACATCAATATTACCCAACTTGTTAAAATAATCATAATCCAAAGTCAAATTCAATAAAACTTAGGCAAGATATGATCCAAAGAAGATTTACATGGAGACTCCTGAAAAAGTACTAAGCAAATGACCAGGTGCTACAGAAGAGTAAACATCTTCTTCTTCATCAGAGACATCCGTCATGTAAACCTTGGTCAGTCCAAGTAAGTAGCCACATTCTTATATGAGAACAAGATATGCAACAACAGAACCAATAGGCAAACTGAGGAGCATCAAACACATCCAGCTTCATATCGCACAAAGAAATAGAATATCTTACAATGAGATCACATTTACTGATCACCATGAAATCTTTGTAAAGGGATTTACTGTGGTGTTGAATCTGATGTTTCAGGTTTACTGCGACTATCATGGACATTCTCGAAGAAAAAACATATTTTTGTATGGCTGTAGTCCAAGTATGTCATGGATTCCAAATGACACACAAAACCCAGCTGTGACAGGAAACAGAGGGGAGGACAACAGCTTCAAGGTAAGGGACAGTGAGGGGGACAGTGAGGGGAACAGTGAGGAACAGTGAGGAACAGTGAGGGGAACAGTGAGGGGAACAGTGAGAGGGACAGTGAGGGGGACAGTGAGGGAGACAGTGAGGGGGACAGTGAGGGAGACAGTGAAGGGGACAGTGAGGAGGACAATGAGGGGAACAGTGAGGGGGACAGTGAGGAGGACAATGAGGGGAACAGTGAAGGGGAAAGTGAGGAGGACAGTGAGGGGAACAGTGAGGGGGACAGTGAGGGGAAGAGTGAGGGGAAGAGTGAGGGGGACAGTGAGGGGGACAGTGAGGGGAACAGTGAGGGGGACAGTGAGGGGAACAGTGAGGGGGACAGTGAGGAGGACAATGAGGGGAACAGTGAAGGGGAAAGTGAGGAGGACAGTGAGGGGGACAGTGAGGGGAAGAGTGAGGGGAAGAGTGAGGGGGACAGTGAGGAGAACAGTGAGGGGAACAGTGAGGGGGACAGTGAGGGGGACAGTGAGGGAACAGTGAGGGGGACAGTGAGGAGAACAATGAGGGGGACAGTGAAGGGGAAAGTGAGGAGGAAAGTGAGGAGGACAATGAAGGGGACAGTGAGGGGAACAGTGAGGGGGACAGTGAGGGAACAGTGAGGGAACAGTGAGGAGGACAGTGAGGAGGACAGTGAGGGAACAGTGAGGGGGACAGTGAGGAGGACAATGAGGGGGACAGTGAAGGGGAAAGTGAGGAGGACAATGAAGGGGACAGTGAGGGGAACAGTGAGGGGAACAGTGAGGGGGACAGTGAGGGGAACAGTGAGGGGAACAGTGAGGGGGACAGTGAGGGAACAGTGAGGGGGACAGTGAGGAGAACAGTGAAGGGGAAAGTGAGGAGGAAAGTGAGGAGGACAATGAAGGGGACAGTGAGGGGAACAGTGAGGGGGACAGTGAGGGAACAGTGAGGAGGACAGTGAGGGAACAGTGAGGGGGACAGTGAGGAGGACAGTGAGGGGGACAGTGAAGGGGAAAGTGAGGAGGACAATGAAGGGGACAGTGAGGGGAACAGTGAGGGGAAAAGTGAGGGGGACAGTGAGGGAACAGTGAGGGAACAGTGAGGAGGACAGTGAGGGGGACAGTGAGGGAACAGTGAGAGGGACAGTGAGGAGGACAATGAGGGGGACAGTGAAGGGGACAGTGAGGGGGAAAGTGAGGAGGACAATGAGGGGGATAGTGAGGGAAACAGTGAGGGGAACAGTGAGGGGGACAGTGAGGGGACAGTGAGGAGGACAGTGAGGGAATAGTGAGGAGGAAAGTGAGGACAATGAGGCGGACAGTGAAGGGGAAAGTGAGGAGGACAGTGAGGGGGACAGTGAAAGGGAAAGTGAGGAGGACAGTGAGGGGGACAGTGAGGGGAACAATGAGGGGGACAGTGAAAGGGAAAGTGAGGAGGACAGTGAGGGGGACAGTGAGGGGAACAGTGAGGGGGACAGTGAAGGGGAAAGTGAGGGGGACAGTGAAAGGGAAAGTGAGGAGGACAGTGAGGGGGACAGTGAGGGGAACAGTGAGGGGGACAGTGAAGGGGAAAGTGAGGGGGACAGTGAAAGGGAAAGTGAGGAGGACAGTGAGGGGGACAGTGAGGGGAACAGTGAGGGGAACAGTGAGGAAATCACTTTTACAGGTACATTCTACCTTCACACAATTTCCATTATCAATATTTAGCAACCAAAAGCTACATATTGGCAGCCATTTTCCTTATGAGAGATGTGTGACTATACTTGAAAAGTGATTTAATCATGTGATACATGCTTTGTCCATACTGAATTATATACACCTTGTTTACTTAATCTATAATACACTAAGGAATAAGTTCAGGTCTCCAAAGATTAACAAGAGGCCCATAAGGTCTGTATCTTTCACTTTGCTTTCTTTGGCTGAAAACACTTTATCCGAACCAAATCTGGTAAAAATCCATTATTGATGACTAGATTTGTGAAATGAGCGACAGACACTGATATGCCATCAGCTCACATTGCCTTCAATTTGTTTAGACTCTACCACGGATACTACATCTCACATCATCAGTATTCTCCTGGCAGAACTGCAGCTTTGTAGTGGAAAAAGCCAAGGAAACAACTGCCAGAATGGTTGTATGGCGACAGATAGGTGTCATAAGATCCTACACCATGGAGAGCTCTTACTGCGGAATAGATAAGGAGGGAAAGTATAAGGTAAGTTCACCTCTCTACACCTAAGTAGTCCCACCTCTCCATCACTACACCAAGGTAGTCTTACCTCTCCATCACTACACCAAGGTAGTCTTACCTCTCCATCACTACACCAAGGTAGTTCCATCTCTCCATCACTACATCAAGGTAGTCTTACCTCTCCATCACTACACCAAGGTAGTCCCACCTCTCCATCACTACACCAAGGTAGTCTTACCTCTCCATCACTACACCAAGGTTGTCCCACCTCTCCTTGCTATGTTATTTATGTAAGAATGATATTAAGGCTGCTGACATGATACTAATGCTGACATGATGATAAGGCTGACATGATACTAATGCTGACATGATGATAAGGCTGACATGATACTAATGCTGATATTATGATAAGGCTGAAATGATACTAATGCTGACATGATACTAATGCTGACATGATGATAAGGCTGACATGATACTAAGGCTGACATGATGATAAGGCTAACATGATGATAAGGCTGACATGATGATAAGGCTGACATGATACTAATGCTGACATGATGATAAGGCTGACATGATGATAAGGCTGACATGATACTAATGCTGACATGATGATAAGGCTGACATGATACTAAGGCTGACATGATGATAAGGCTGACATGATACTAATGCTAACATGATGATAAGGCTGACATGATACTAATGCTAACATGATGATAAGGCTGACATGATGATAAGGCTGACATGATGATAAGGCTGACATGATGATAAGGTTTACATGATGATAAGGCTGACATGATACTAATGCTAACATGATGATAAGGCTAACATGATGATAAGGCTGACATGATGATAAGGCTGACATGATACTAATGCTAACATGATACTAAGGCTGACATGATGATAAGGCTGACATGATGATAAGGTTTACATGATGATAAGGCTGACATGATACTAATGCTAACATGATACTAAGGCTAACACGATGATAAGGCTAACACGATGATAAGGCTAACATGATGATAAGGCTGACATGATACTAAGGCTAACACGATGATAAGGCTAACATGATGATAAGGCTGACATGATACTAATGCTAACATGATGATAAGGCTGACATGATGATAAGGTTTACATGATGATAAGGCTGACATGATACTAATGCTAACACGATGATAATGCTAACACGATGATAATGCTAACATGATGATAAGGCTAACATGATGATAAGGCTGACATGATACTAATGCTAACATGATGATAAGGCTGACATGATGATAAGGCTGACATGATGATAAGGTTTACATGATGATAAGGCTGACATGATGATAAGGCTGACATGATACTAATGCTAACACGATGATAAGGCTGACATGATGATAAGGCTGACATGATACTAATGCTAACACGATGATAATGCTAACATGATGATAAGGCTGACATGATGATAAGGTTTACATGATGATAAGGCTGACATGATACTAATGCTAACATGATGATAAGGCTAACACGATGATAAGGCTAACATGATGATAAGGCTGACATGATGATAAGGTTTACATGATGATAAGGCTGACATGATGATAAGGCTGACATGATACTAATGCTAACACGATGGTAAGGCTGACATGATGATAAGGCTGACATGATACTAATGCTAACACGATGATAAGGCTGACATGATGATAAGGCTGACATGATACTAATGCTAACATGATGATAAGGCTGACATGATGATAAGGTTTACATGATGATAAGGCTGACATGATACTAATGCTAACATGATGATAAGGCTAACACGATGATAAGGCTGACATGATGATAAGGCTGACATGATACTAATGCTAACATGATGATAAGGCTGACATGATGATAAGGTTTACATGATGATAAGGTTGACATGATGATAAGGCTGACATGATGATAAGGTTAACATGATGATAAGGCTGACATGATGATAAGGTTTACATGATGATAAGGCTGACATGATACTAAGGCTGACATGATACTAATGCTGATATTATGATAAGGCTGACATGATGATAAGGCTGACATGATATTTATACTGACATGATACTAAGGCTGACATGATACTAATGCTGATATTATGATAAGGCTGACATGATGATAAGGCTGACATGATACTTATACTGACATGATACTAAGGCTGACATGATACTAATGCTGATATTATGATAAGGCTGACATGATGATAAGGCTGACATATGATGATAAGGCTGACATGATGATAAGGCTAACATGATACTTATACTGACATGATACTAATGCTGACATGATGATAAGGCTAACATGATGATAAGGCTGACATGATACTAAGGCTGATATTATGATAAGGCTGACATGATGATAAGGCTGACATATGATGATAAGGCTGACATGATGATAAGGCTAACATGATACTTATACTGACATGATACTAAGGCTGACATGATGATAAGGCTGACATGATGATAAGGCTGACATGATACTTATACTGACATGATACTAAGGCTGACATGATGATAAGGCTGACATGATGATAAGGCTGACATGATACTAAGGCTGACATGATACTAAGGCTGACATGATGATAAGGCTGACATGATACTTATACTGACATGATGATAAGGCTGACATGATACTAAGGCTGACATGATACTAAGGCTGACATGATACTAAGGCTGACAGATGATAAGGCTGACATGATACTTATACTGACATGATGATAAGGCTGACATGATGATAAGGCTGACATAAGGCTGACATGATGATAAGGCTGACATGATGATAAGGCTAACATGATACTAAGGCTGACATGATGATAAGGCTGACATGATGATAAGGCTGACATGATGATGAGGCTAACATGATAAGGTTTACATCACAGTTGGAAACCTGTTTGAATATTGAGGTAGCATCACATTATGTATGAACTTTTACAATCTTAAGAAATAGTTTTTAATTAATAATGTTGTTTATAGTTAAAGATGTGAATATGTTATATATTGTCAGTTAAGGATGTGAATATGTTATATATTGATAGTCAAGGATGTGAATATGTTATATATTGATAGTCAAGGATGTGAATATGTTATATATTGATAGTCAAGGATGTGAATATGTTATATATTGATAGTTAAGGATGTGAATATGTTATATATTGATAGTAAAGGATGTGAATATGTTATATATTGATAGTTAAGGATGTGAATATGTTATATATTGATAGTAAAGGATGTGAATATGTTATATATTGATAGTTAAGAATGTGAATAGGTTATATATTGATAGTAAAGGATGTTAAGATGTTATATATTGATAGTCAAGGATGTTAAGATGTTATATATTGATAGCTAAGATGTTATATATTGATAGTAAAGGATGTGAATATGTTATATATTGATAGTCAAGGATGTTAAGATGTTATATATTGATAGTAAAGGATGTGAATATGTTATATATTGATAGTAAAGGATGTGAATATGTTATATATTGATAGTCAAGGATGTTAAGATGTTATATATTGATAGTCAAGGATGTGAATATGTTATATATTGATAGTTAAGGATGTGAATAGGTTATATATTGATAGTTAAGAATGTGAATAGGTTATATATAGATAGTCAAGGATGTGAATATGTTATATATTGATAGTCAAGGATGTTAAGATGTTATATATTGATAGCTAAGATGTTATATATTGATAGTAAAGGATGTGAATATGTTATATATTGATAGTCAAGGATGTTAAGATGTTATATATTGATAGTTAAGGACGTGAATATGTTATATATTGTTAGTTAAGGATGTGAAGATGTTATATATTGATAGCTAAGATGTTACATATTGATAGTAAAGGATGTGAATATGTTATATATTGATAGTTAAGGATGTGAATATGTTATATATTGATAGCTAAGATGTTATATATTGTCAGTTAAGGATGTGAATATGTTATATATTGATAGTTAAGGATGTGAACATGTTATATATAGATAGTGAAGGATGTGAATATGTTATATATTGTTAGTTAAGGATGTGAATATGTTATATATTGATAGTTAAGGATGTGAATATGTTATATATAGATAGTCAAGGATGTGAATATGTTATATATTGTTAGTTAAGGATGTGAATATGTTATATATAGATAGTCAAGGATGTGAATATGTTATATATTGTTAGTTAAGGATGTGAATATGTTATATATTGTTAGTTAAGGATGTGAATATGTTATATATAGATAGTAAAGGATGTGAATATGTTATATATTGTTAGTTAAGGATGTGAATATGTTATATATTGTTAGTTAAGGATGTGAATATGTTTATGGTTTCACCAACAGGATCAGCACATCTCCACCACTATGTTGGAGGATATGGGCCAGAAATTCTGTGAGGCTTTGCTCAGAATACGCTCCAGATTTGGAGGTTATGATGTGGCAGCTTCCCTTCCTACCTCCAGTTCTTCACAACTCGACATGGAGTCTGGTGCAGGAGCTCGACCTAGAAGGTCAGTTTTATACTCTTACATGTTTGAGCTAAGGGGTTGCAGTTGGTTCTGGTTCCCTCCATCTTAGAGTTTCAGCCAAAGGTTTGGAGGTGTCTGTGAAACTGATGTTGTAGTGGAGAGGTTTGGAGGTGCCTGTTGATACTGATGTTGTAGTGGAGAGGTTTGGAGGTGCCTGTTGATACTGATGTTGTAGTGGAGAGGTTTGGAGGTGCCTGTTGATACTGATGTTGTAGTGGAGAGGTTTGGAGGTGTCTGTTGATACTGATGTTGTAGTGGAGAGGTGTGGAGGTGTCTGTTGATACTGATGTTGTAGTGGAGAGGTTTGGAGGTGTCTGTTGATACTGATGTTGTAGTGGAGAGGTTTGGAGGTGTCTGTTGATACTGATGTTGTAGTGGAGAGGTGTGGAGGTGCCTGTTGATACTGATGTTGTAGTGGAGAGTTTGGAGGTGTCTGTTGATACTGATGTTGTAGTGGAGAGGTGTGGAGGTGCCTGTTGATACTGATGTTGTAGTGGAGAGGTTTGGAGGTGTCTGTTGATACTGATGTTGTAGTGGAGAGGTGTGGAGGTGCCTGTTGATACTGATGTTGTAGTGGAGAGGTTTGGAGGTGTCTGTTGATACTGATGTTGTAGTGGAGAGGTGTGGAGGTGTCTATGAAACTGATGTTGTAGTGGAGAGGTGTGGAGGTGCCTGTTGATACTGATGTTGTAGTGGAGAGGTGTGGAGGTGTCTATGAAACTGATGTTGTAGTGGAGAGGTTTGGAGGTGTCTGTTGATACTGATGTTGTAGTGGAGAGGTTTGGAGGTGTCTGTTGATACTGATGTTGTAGTGGAGAGGTTTGGAGGTGCCTGTTGATACTGATGTTGTAGTGGAGAGGTTTGGAGGTGTCTGTTGATACTGATGTTGTAGTGGAGAGGTGTGGAGGTGCCTGTTGATACTGATGTTGTAGTGGAGAGGTTTGGAGGTGTCTGTTGATACTGATGTTGTAGTGGAAAGGTGTGGAGGTGTCTGTTGATACTGATGTTGTAGTGGAGAGGTGTGGAGGTGCCTGTTGATACTGATGTTGTAGTGGAGAGGTGTGGAGGTGTCTGTTGATACTGATGTTGTAGTGGAGAGGTTTGGAGGTGCCTGTTGATACTGATGTTGTAGTGGAGATGTTTGGAGGTGCCTGTTGATACTGATGTTGTAGTGGAGAGGTGTGGAGGTGCCTGTTGATACTGATGTTGTAGTGGAGAGGTGTGGAGGTGCCTGTTGATACTGATGTTGTAGTGGAGAGGTGTGGAGGTGCCTGTTGATACTGATGTTGTAGTGGAGAGGTTGATACTGATGTTGTAGTGGAGAGGTGTGGAGGTGTCTGTTGATACTGATGTTGTAGTGGAGAGGTGTGGAGGTGTCTGTTGATACTGATGTTGTAGTGGAGAGGTGTGGAGGTGCCTGTTGATACTGATGTTGTAGTGGAGAGGTGTGGAGGTGCCTGTTGATACTGATGTTGTAGTGGAGAGGTTTGGAGGTGCCTGTTGATACTGATGTTGTAGTGGAGAGGTTTGGAGGTGCCTGTTGATACTGATGTTGTAGTGGAGAGGTTTGGAGGTGCCTGTTGATACTGATGTTGTAGTGGAGAGGTGTGGAGGTGCCTGTTGATACTGATGTTGTAGTGGAGAGGTGTGGATGTGCCTGTTGATACTGATGTTGTAGTGGAGAGGTTTGGAGGTGTCTGTTGATACTGATGTTGTAGTGGAGAGGTTTGGAGGTGTCTGTTGATACTGATGTTGTAGTGGAGAGGTTTGGAGGTGTCTGTTGATACTGATGTTGTAGTGGAGAGGATTGGAGGTGCCTGTTGATACTGATGTTGTAGTGGAGAGGTTTGGAGGTGCCTGTTGATACTGATGTTGTAGTGGAGAGGTGTGGAGGTGTCTGTTGATACTGATGTTGTAGTGGAGAGGTTTGGAGGTGCCTGTTGATACTGATGTTGTAGTGGAGAGGTGTGGAGGTGTCTGTTGATACTGATGTTGTAGTGGAGATGTTTGGAGGTGCCTGTTGATACTGATGTTGTAGTGGAGAGGTTTGGAGGTGTCTGTTGATACTGATGTTGTAGTGGAGAGGTTTGGAGGTGTCTGTTGATACTGATGTTGTAGTGGAGAGGTGTGGAGGTGTCTATGAAACTGATGTTGTAGTGGAGAGGTGTGGAGGTGTCTATGAAACTGATGTTGTAGTGGAGAGGTGTGGAGGTGTCTGTTGATACTGATGTTGTAGTGGAGAGGTTTGGAGGTGTCTGTTGATACTGATGTTGTAGTGGAGAGGTTTGGAGGTGTCTGTTGATACTGATGTTGTAGTGGAGAGGTTTGGAGGTGCCTGTTGATACTGATGTTGTAGTGGAGAGGTTTGGAGGTGTCTGTTGATACTGATGTTGTAGCACCGTCCGCCGTGCGTAAACTTTTCATTCAAACAACTTCTTCTCAAATACTAGAAGGTCTAGGGGGCTAATACTTGGCACAAAGGATACTGGCATGGAGCTCTACCAAGTTTGTTCAAATGAATGACCTTGACCCACTTTAAAGGTCACAGGGGTCAAATATGTTAAAATAGGTTTGGCTTGCTTTTTGTCAGATGACCGGTAAGGCCCATGGGCCTCTTGTTTTATTTACTTTTGTTTTCTGTTTTTTTGGTGGAAGTGCTTTTTAATTCTTTCTACATTAATGATGTGATGAAATTTTGGTTAGTGAAATAATATATACAATTTTACAAAGTTACAATTAAAACTGTTATGTACTGATAGTATACTTTCTTCTTTATCATCATTAAAAAATCATGTTTACCTGACAAATCTAAAGCACTAAGTTTTGTTGAAAAATAATGTATATGCTGATGGACACCAATTGTAGTTTTAATCCGTTGAAATTTATCTGTTTCTCTCATTTTCATTGAAGTCTTGATCAATAACAAGTTATAAGACTGTTGATCACTGTGAATGGTGAAATTAAGACAAATTGTAACAAGTCAAACTATGGTTTAATTTGATTTCTCTCCCACTTAGTTAAAGGACTCTATGAATATATCATCTCTCCATGTGTCTGTGTGTCCAATATAACACAGAGTTTGTATACATATACTTCTCAAAAGATTAAATATTCACATCAGAAAGTTCTGTACCTTATTTACATGATACAATATTACATCAGAAAGTTCTGTACCTTATTTACATGATACAATATTACATCAGAAAGTTCTGTACCTTATTTACATGATACAACCTTATTACATCAGAAAGTTCTGTACCTTATTTACATGATACAATATTACATCAGAAAGTTCTGTACCTTATTTACATGATAGTATCACATCAGAAAGTTCTGTACCTTATTTACATGATACAATATTACATCAGAAAATTCTGTACCTTATTTACTGTGATACAATATTACATCAGAAAGTTCTGTACCTACATATTTACAGAAATGATTTACAATATTCACATCAGAAAGTTCTGTACCTTATTTACATGATACAATATCACATCAGAAAGTTCTGTACCTTATTTACATGATACACATATACCTTATTTACATGATAGTATCACATCAGAAAGTTCTGTACCTTATTTACATGATACAATATTACATCAGAAAGTTTTGTACCTTATTTACATGATACAATATTACATCAGAAAGTTCTGTACCTTATTTACATGATACAATATTACATCAGAAAGTTCTGTACCTTATTTACATGATAATATCACATCAGAAAGTTCTGTACCTTATTTACATGATACAATATCACATCAGAAAGTTCTGTACCTTATTTACATGATACAATATTACATCAGAAAGTTCTGTACCTTATTTACATGATACAATATTACATCAGAAAGTTCTGTACCTTATTTACATGATACAATATCACATCAGAAAGTTCTGTACCTTATTTACATGATAGTATCACATCAGAAAGTTCTGTACCTTATTTACATGATACAATATCACATCAGAAAGTTCTGTACCTTATTTACATGATACAATATCACATCAGAAAGTTCTGTACCTTATTTACATGATAGTATCACATCAGAAAGTTCTGTACCTTATTTACATGATACAATATTACATCAGAAAGTTCTGTACCTTATTTACATGATACAATATCACATCAGAAAGTTCTGTACCTTATTTACATGATACAGTATCACATCAGAAAGTTCTGTACCTTATTTACATGATATATTACATCAGAAAGTTCTGTACCTTATTTACATGATACAATATTACATCAGAAAGTTCTGTACCTTATTTACATGATACAATATTACATCAGAAAGTTCTGTACCTTATTTACATGATAGTATCACATCAGAAAGTTCTGTACCTTATTTACATGATACAATATTACATCAGAAAGTTCTGTACCTTATTTACATGATACAATATCACATCAGAAAGTTCTGTACCTTATTTACATGATAGTATCACATCAGAAAGTTCTGTACCTTATTTACATGATACAATATCACATCAGAAAGTTCTGTACCTTATTTACATGATACAATATCACATCAGAAAGTTCTGTACCTTATTTACATGATAGTATCACATCAGAAAGTTCTGTACCTTATTTACATGATACAATATTACATCAGAAAGTTCTGTACCTTATTTACATGATACAATATCACATCAGAAAGTTCTGTACCTTATTTACATGATACAGTATCACATCAGAAAGTTCTGTACCTTATTTACATGATACAATATTACATCAGAAAGTTCTGTACCTTATTTACATGATACAATATTACATCAGAAAGTTCTGTACCTTATTTACATGATAGTATCACATCAGAAAGTTCTGTACCTTATTTACATGATACAATATTACATCAGAAAGTTCTGTACCTTATTTACATGATACAATATCACATCAGAAAGTTCTGTACCTTATTTACATGATAGTATCACATCAGAAAGTTCTGTACCTTATTTACATGATACAATATCACATCAGAAAGTTCTGTACCTTATTTACATGATACAATATCACATCAGAAAGTTCTGTACCTTATTTACATGATAGTATCACATCAGAAAGTTCTGTACCTTATTTACATGATACAATATTACATCAGAAAGTTCTGTACCTTATTTACATGATAGTATCACATCAGAAAGTTCCGTACCTTATTTACATGATAGTATCACATCAGAAAGTTCTGTACCTTATTTACATGATACAATATCACATCAGAAAGTTCCGTACCTTATTTACATGATACAGTATCACATCAAAAAGTTCCGTACCTTATTTACATGATACAATATCACATCAGAAAGTTCTGTACCTTATTTACATGATAGTATCACATCAGAAAGTTCTGTACCTTATTTACATGATAGTATCACATCAGAAAGTTCTGTACCTTATTTACATGATAGTATCACATCAAAAAGATGCTGCTTATTAGATGTTAGTGGTCATTTGTCAAAGTTAAGGGTCCTAAGGTCACTCTTGACCACTTGAGCTGAGAGGGGAGTATATGTATTTGAAATCTTCCTCACTGTGTTTTTTTTTCTAGGGATCGGGATGTTGGTGATAATATGATAGATGATGACAATTTTGGAGGTGGAGATGACATTGATGACATGAATGAGGAGTCATCGCTTGAAGATGACATTTCACAAGATGATGATGACAATGTATATGATGAAGACCCTAGTTGAAATGGATAAAGAATACATGATGAATATTTCTTGATTCCTGAGACTCATGGTCATGCCTCCCATGTCGATATGTAACAACTCGGTGAGACTGGTCTTTTGTGTCATGTCAATGTCATACAACACGGTGAAACAGGTCATGTGTGTCTCATGTCAGTGTGTACCAACTTGGTGAGACAGGTCATGTGTGTCTCATGTCAGTGTGTACCAACTTGGTGAGACAGGTCGTGTGTGTCTCATGTCAGTGTGTAACAACTTGGTGAGACAGGTCGTGTGTGTCTCATGTCAATGTAACATCTTGGTGAGACAGGTCGTGTGTGTCTCATGTCAATGTGTAACAACTTGGTGAGACAGGACATGTGTGTCTCATGTCAATGTGTAACAACTTGGTGAGACAGGTCATGTATGTCTCATGTCAGTGTGTATCAATTCGGTGAGACAGGTCATGTGTGTCTCATGTCAATGTGTAACAACTTGGTGAGACAGGTCATGTATGTCTCATGTCAATGTGTAACAACTTGGTGAGACAGGTCGTGTATGTCTCATGTCAATGTGTAACCACTTAGAGAGACTAATTATGTATGTCTCATGTTAGTGTGTAACAACTTGATGAGACAGGTCGTGTATGTCTCATGTCAATGTGTAACCACTTGGAGAGACTAATTATGTATGTCTCATGTTAGTGTGTAACAACTTGATGAGACAGGTCGTGTATGTCTCATGTCAATGTGTAACCACTTGGAGAGACTAATTATGTATGTCTCATGTTAGTGTGTAACAACTTGATGAGACTGGTCGTGTGTCTCATGTCAGTGTGTAACAACTTGGTGAGACTGGTCGTGTGTAACAACTTGGTGAGACTGGTCATGTATGTCTCATGTCAGTGTGTAACAACTTGATGAGACTGGTCGTGTGTAACAACTTGGTGAGACTGGTCATGTATGTCTCATGTCAGTGTGTAACAACTTGGTGAGACAGGTCATGTGTGTCTCATGTCAGTCTTTAACAACTTGGTGAGACTGGTCGTGTGTCTCATGTCAATGGTTAACAACTTGGTGAGACAGGTTGTCTGTGTCTCCTATCAATGTTTTACTGTTGCCTTCCTCATGTTGTTTAATTAGAGCTAATTTTTCTAATTCATTACTTGATCAATAGACAAAGAATCCAGTTACAATATGTTGTGTACTATAATCTCAAGAATGTCGGTTTTTTATGAAATATCAGAAATGACATTTAATGTATGATATCGCTGAAAGACAGGATGAGTATGAAACAGGAAATTCAGGTAAATGGGTGAAGTGAGAAGGAATCTGCTTTCTCCCTTATCAGTAAGATTACATTATAATATAGCCCGCTATATATATATACGACTGACTGCATCTTCATAAAATCAAAATGCTTCTCAATTATTTTTGTTTACCTCCAAATAAATAACTATTTTAACTGTTATATATTACTTTGATTATAACTATAAGTTTTGAGGGAATTCTTTATTGCTTTGCATCACCCAAAAACCATTTAAACTCCTTCCAAATCAAACAATGGTCGTGTATATATTGATAATTGTCCAAGCATCAGAAACTATCCATTCTTCTATCATCTTTTTCATTTAATCATCATTTCTTTTTTTTTTTCAAAAATGTTGTGTTCTTTGAAGCCACCAGTATGGTGTGTGAACATTGCCTATATGTGTGTCCAGCTGTTCTGTTTACTTGAAGGATACCATGCCTATATGTGTGTACAGCTATTCTGTTTACTTGAAGGATAACATGCCTATATGTGTATACAGCTGTTCTGTTTACTTGAAGGATACCATGCCTATATGTGTGTACAGCTATTCTGTTTACTTGAAGGATACCATGCCTATATGTGTGTACAGCTGTTCTGTTTACTTGAAGGATACCATGCCTATATGTGTACAGCTATTCTGTTTACTTGAAGGATACCATGCCTATATGTGTGTACAGCTGTTCTGTTTACTTGAAGGATACCATGCCTATATGTGTGTACAGCTGTTCTGTTTACTTGAAGGATACCATGCCTATATGTGTACAGCTATTCTGTTTACTTGAAGGATACCATGCCTATATGTGTGTACAGCTGTTCTGTTTACTTGAAGGATACCAATTCTGTGATATACAAACAAACTGAGTTTTTCTCTTGCGGATGAATTTGCCAGGCTCTCATCACGGTGCAGCCTTATGGGTGTATCAGAATTGTTTCTCAGATCAGTTGTCATTGGAATCATTTCTAATAATATATACTCGGCGTCAATGAAAACGCAACACCTTTAAATTACTGTCAAAATTTACCAGTTATAGTTTTGAATACAATATTTAGTAAAATACCTAAAATTTGATTATGTCCATAACAAAATTCACTCAATGCAATCAGCACTACATCATGGGAATACTTTGATTTCCAGTGACTAATGTCCATACCCCCAAAATCAAAATTACCACGTTCTAATGTGGCCACCATTTGCAGCGACACAAGCGCGGCATCTTCGAGGCATTGACCGAATTAGGCGTTGAATTTTGATTTGAGGAATGTTCCTCCACTCTTCCTGAAGAGCGATTTCAAGCTGCCGACGTGTCTGGGGTTGTTGTGGTTGCTCTCTCACAGCCCTACCCAATTGGTCCCAAAGATGCTCGATCGGACTAAGATCCGGGGAAAACGCGGGCCACGGGAGGGTTGCGATGTCCTGATGTTGAAGGTAGTATGTAGTGATATGAGCGGTATGTGGTCGTGCATTGTCTTGTTGTAATAACACTACGTTTGGGTGTCCAGCAAAGAATGGAACAACAGCAGGAGTTAAGACTTCGTTGATGTAGCGCTGTGCTGTTAGATTGCCGTCAATAATTACTAGAGGGGTACGGTATGCAAGAGATACCTCCCCACACCATCACACTGCCCCCGCCCCACCTATCCGTTTCCGTTACACAGCAGTCCAAAAACCTTTCACCTCGACGTCACCACACTCGAATTCTACCGTCATTTCCTCTGAGGCGGAATCTCGATTCGTCGGTAAACAGGACGCCAGCCCACCGACGTTGGGTCCATCCTCGGCGCTGTCTTGTCCAATTTAGACGATTTTGACGGCGAATTTGAGTCAATTCGTTTCCTCTAAATGGACGGGGCGACGGCGCACAGTACTAGCTGACAAACGTCTGCCATGACTTCCTATCGTCTGTCTAGCCGTTCTTGTCGCGGTTTAAAAACGATCTCGCAGGTGACTTAGTTGAATGTAAGTCGAATGTAACGGTCCTGGTTTGGCGTCGTCACTCTCTGTCGCCCCGGACGAGGTCGATCTCTCACGGATCCGGTTTGTCGCACTCGTTCTGCCAGTCGATTGATTGTGGAAGCAGAACAACCCATTCTCCTGGCAACTTCCCTCTGAGATAGCCCTCCTGCCAGCATACCCCGAGCTTCGTGTCTTTCATTGTCTGTCAGTCGAGGCATTTGTAGCAAATAATGATGACAATTTAAAAAATTGATGATGGAAAAATGTCTGCCTTTAACTACAGTGTTCACTAGTAGTGACTGAGCAAGGATATAACGCACTTTAGAGCACCGATGTGCAAACTCATGCTTTTACGACAATGCCCTTTGGTACGACAAGGAGTTGATATTACTCGACCATTATTTCGTTAGTTTTGTAGTGCATTGTGTTGTGGCTAAATACAGCAGAATAAGAATCTAATCCTTGTTGTGAAGAATATATTATGTCCAAAATTTTAGTGTTGCGTTTTCATTGGCGCCGAGTATAGTTACAGTGGGTTTTATTGTTGTTTAAAATCTAAACATTTATAAAGGTACTTAAATTTTTTATGCAGCTCAAAAATAGGTTTGTCTTTTTTTTTTTTTTTTTTTTGACTTAACTTGGCTGTGTTCTTTCCATCTGAATTGTGATGAATCTGTGTGACGGTGTGATTATTTGAGCTTTGATTAAGAAATAAAATGTTTGAAAGTAAAAACTTGTTTGAAGGTATGCATTTAAAGTAGCTGGATATCAGTTTGACATTACCACTTAAATATTTTGTTTCCATATCAATTGTATGATACAAATTACTCGGACAGAAATAAAATCACTTCCCATATAGAGGGCAGTCTCAAAAATGATCATGTGTTTTCTGGGTTTTTTTTAGATATTGTGAAAGACACATAACTGGTTTAGCTGAATGTATATGTACATTTAGCCGTATCATAAACACAGGATATGTAATAGTGTGTTCAGTAAAAACAGATCAATGTGAGTAATATTGTACACTCGTGAAAGTCGCAGAAATGATTAAACATACAAGTGACATCATATTTATTTACTGAAGACATTAGATATACATTTAAACAAGCAAAGTAACCTTATTACTGGCATATTTAGAGAAGCTGACAAGGCTTTTGTGGACACTACTCACTCATTACAACTTTGTAAAACACGACAAGATATGGTGGTTTTTTTATTTGAATCATTAAAAATATGTGAACAAAAAAATGAAAAATAATATTTGAATGAGATATTTCTTGATCAATTCATTGGCAAAAATGTAGTAAAGGAGAATAAATGTCTTCTAACCTACATATATTCCTTATAAACTTACAATATATGAAAGTGAATTAAAATTTCTAGTGGGAAATGGAATGATGTAGAGACACAAAGATATCCTTTCATATCTCAAAACTTGCTGGATCAGCATTGCTATTAAAACAAGCCAGGAATACACATGTATATATTTGTGTAAATGTTATTTTCAATAGAAAAATGTTGTCACCACAGTAACACGTTTGTAAATAAATACCGGTAGCTGTTCATTAGACACACAGCATTATGAAAACAAATGTTGGTAAAAAATAGAGATCACCTGTTATCAGTCTTTGTGTGTATTTGCACTCGTATGTAATACAACAATGTCTGTCCTCTGGTCATCAACTGTCCATTTTCTACAAATCACTACTTGTCATGAATGGTTGAGTGGATTTTGACTAAATTTGGTTTAAAGCATTTCTAAATCTAAATATTGTCCAATTTTCTTGAAATTTCATTCTTAGCATGATCATGATACAATTGTAGCTGCGGTTTCACATTCTGACAAAATGGCTGCCATGTTTTGGCCTATGATTGGTCACATCAATAAAAATTATGTACTTTAAATACTGCCTTACCTCAGGAACACAAAGGCAGAGACTTTTTTTCTGATTTAACAAAATGAGGGGATGAAGATCGGGTGAAGGTGAAGATTGGTTGAAGGTGAAGGTTGGATGAAGGTGAAGGTCAGGTAAAGGTGAACGTTAGGCTTGGTGAAGGAAAGGATGGGTGAGGTTGATAGTTGGGTGAATCCTGGGTGAAGGAGAAGGTCAGGTGAAGGTTTGGTAAATGTTGGGTGAAGGGGAAGGCCGAGTGAAGGTGAAGTGTTGGTGAAGATGAAGATCAGATGAAGGTGAAGGTCAGGTGAAGGTGAAGGTTTGATGAAGTAAAGGTCGGTTAAAGGTGAAGGTTAGATGAAGGTGAAGGTTTGATGAAGTGAAGGTCAGTTCAAGGTGAAGGTTAGGTGAAGG